AACTTGGGTCCGTCGAATATGGGCAACCCTGTATATATTCCAATTTTTTTATTACCGCAAGATCTGATGTGAAGATGATTAAGATCGGACCAAACCTTATGGTACCCCACCCACAAAGTGTCACAATTTCCAATAATTATATCACTCATATCTTGAAAAACAAGTTCTTTTCAAATATCTTAATATTTCTCTCATATGTGAATATGGAATTTATCGGCCAATCCTTATGGTACCGCCCCCACAAAAAGTTGACATTTTGATTTAAAATTATTCACATAAAAATGGAAATAAATGTTGAATTTTTGTTGCATTTTGCACATTTTAATGGTTTAATCATGAAGTGTTAGATGAAGTGGAATACTTCAGTCCACTATTTCTCACACACACATTTCAATATTTTCCAAAAAAAAGGAAGTCGATATAGTCCATATCAGAGTTAATTCAGATGAGAAGTGGATTATATTTCGCAATATTTAGGACATAGCTTTGGAATTTGATAGAGATCTTTGGATTACATTCGAACTCATTGGTACAGAAAAATGGTTTTATCGGTCCACTATTTGGAACAGTTCTCTTGTAAGTATGACTCGGATTTCAATTTTATTTTTCATATTTGGTTTTGTCAAAAAAAAAAAAAAAAAAAAAAAAAAAAATAAAAAAATAAAAATATAGGTTCACTTTTCTGCACAGCAGTTATATAATGATACCGCCTGGTTTTAGTTTTTGCAAACGCCTTGGCCATATTTTCCAATCGATTTCTTCTTCACTTGGTTTCTTCCTTCTAAAATCCTGCTTAATTATAAAATACTACCAAAAAGGAAACATTTTGGATAAGAATAATACTATTCTCTTTGTGTATATTAATTCCGAACACACTATACATATATAATACACTAATTCCATTGAATCCTAATCCGAATATTTCTAAAAGTGTGGGACAGGTGAATCTTGTTCCCTCCATTTTGGTTACGTTGCGATGTAAATTTTCAATACGCCGACACACGTTTCTTCTATTTTTCGATATATTTTCATAATTTGCCAGATTTTCCCAGTAATTATTTTTTGTGTTGCTCTGTGTTATCTTTCTAAAAAACGGATGATCTGCAACTCCTTATGTACTGTGGTAATATGCTGCGTATGATTTATGAATTAACAAATAATTAATTGCTTATACGCCATGGGGGTATATTGATGCATGAAAATTCCTAGAATACGAAAACAAAAAATAAAAAAAGAAATATTAATTAAAAACACAAATAATAAAATTAACAAACATAAATATTGTCATTTACCGTAAAAAATTGATAAAATATTCTTTATTTATAATTTAATCTAAAATAAAAACAGTTTTCCTCTTTTGTTTAAATTGTGAACTTAAAATAAATGTTAGTATTGTTTATTTTTAAAAATGGAAAAGTTGACTTATACTCTGGAATTTCCAATGCATCATGGAGTGGATTTTTAAATTGTTTATAAAAGTAAATCTTCTAGGCCATTACGGCTGTTATTCAATTGTAAAAAAGTCAAAATTGTAATACAAAAAAAAAAAAAAAAATAAATAAATAAATAAATAAATAAAATAAAAAAAAAATATTTTCACCAAGTTATTTTTTTAGTTTTTATTTAACCGCAACATGAATTAGCCTCCAAATTCACAGCAAGTATTTTAAATTAAAAGTAAAAAATTGTATTAAACATGAATATGTATTGCGATTCACAAAATAAAAAACATAGCCATCAATAATTTCAATTTCCAGGAATACAGTATTAAAAAAATACCCAATACAAATGTACCCACCTGTTCTGTTGATTACTTTTTAAACTATAATCACATATTTCAAATGGCGGTTCAATTATACGCTATGATATAATAAAACAAATAAAATTTAATTGATTTTTCATTTTATTGGTCATATTCTAGAACATTGTTTTTTCCCCCAGTTGGCTTAATTTCTTTCCAAAAGTGTTCATTCACCTGTTATTGAAACAAAAGGCCATGTGGTTTTTTTGGAAGTGGAATTGGTATATCAAATTTGTTTTTTGTTTTCTTTTTTCGATATGAAATCAACATTTATGTAAATTATTGTTTATTGTAGCATATTTGTATGCAAATATGCCGCGATGTGAAAATTATTTCATTTTTTTTTATTTTGTATATTTGGTGGTATTATTGTCGGAGATAAAAAGCAGACTTATGACAATGGTTCTCCCGCTGGAGATAATGGTTAGAAATTTGGTCAATATTGCATGATTTTGTGTGAAGCCCTAATCTGGGGTTATATTGATAATTTTTGTGGTCAAGAATTAAAATTTGAAAATATAAAAAAAATTATTTAAAAAATAATAATAAATCAATAAATAAATAAAAAATCATTGATTTTAAAATGGGTGGTTTTGTTGGACTCACGAAACATGCAGGTTAATGTGTACAATTTTACAAAGAAATTATGAAAATTAAATTTTTGAAATTATGCCGATACCGTGGTTCCCTCCGAATGATTTCCCAGCCGTGGTGGTTGCAATTTGATATTTCCAAATATATATAGGTGACATTACGCGTGTGAGGGGCTTAAACACCAAATTGGATGAAACATATATACACTGGTGGCCAAAACTAAAGCAACTTAAATCGCAAAGACAATAAATGTCCCGTAACTTTTACAAAAATAAAAAATCCGTAATTATTTTTCCAGTTTTAAATGATGGGTTTAATTCACTTTTAAGAAACTAAAAATAAAAATACAAAAATAATTTTGAACGAAAAATAATATATGGAAAACTAAAATGACCCAATTTTTGCTTGGTCAAAACTAAAGCAACTTTTGATTTTTTATTTTAAAGTAATTAAATTTTGGCTAGTAGTCGATAGCATAACCATTATTTTTGATAGCAGGTGCACACCTACGAGGCATTAAATCTATAACACGCTCAATTTGATCCTTGGGTGTGCTTTCCCAGGCACCCCGAATTCTTTAGAAAATGTTGTGCTTATTTATTTCCGAATCTCTCTTGATCTTCCTATCTACGATACTCCAAAGGTTTTCTATGGAGTTTAGGTCAGGTGATTGTGCCGGCCATAACAAAACATCAATTCTTGACTCCCGCAACCAATATTTGACAAGTTTTGATACAAGTTTGGGATCATTGTCATGCTGAAACACCCAAATCAGCCGAATATTTTATTCAGCGTAGGGGAACAACGTGATGTCCAACACATCTTTGTAAACAAACCGATCCACAACTTCTTTTATTTTGTGGATAGGCCCAAGTCCATAGAAAGAAAAACAGCGCCACGCCATTTTGACCCTCCCTCATGCTTCACTGTGCCTTTGCAACACTGCGGCTTGAGTCCTTCATTTTTTGATCTTCTCACCGTAAAATTTTTCACTTCTGAGCCTTTAATATTAATCGTAGACTCATCCCAAAAATAATGTTTTTTTCCATTGAGCTTGATTCCACTTAATATTATCGTTTCCGAAAGCCTTTTTGATTTTTTCAGATATAAGTGGTTTTTTGATGTCTTACGGGCATGCAGACCAGCTACCACTACTCGTCTACGCACTGATCTCGAGCTTATATCCAATGATTGCTCTCTCACCAATCCAGTTGAACTCTTAAATAGTTGTTTTTTATTTCTCTCACAATTTGTGGATCAGTACGGGCTAAAGTTTTTCACGGCCTTCATCCGTTATAGACTGTTACTACTGATCCAGTTTCAAAAAACCGACTTAGTATACAGAAATAATTATGAAATCAAATAAATATTTATGAAATATTTCTCGGAAATCATTTTCTGTGATATGTTGTTTTGATAGTCACTGATAATTTGCTGTTTTATACAGGTATTATATTTGCTTTTAGCCATTTTTAAATTTTTTTTGGGCAGTACTTAAAAAACGAAAAGAAAAACACATACTGTTTTAAAAAACTTCTCAAAAAGGATTTCTGACAAGCGAAATTGTCGAAGGAAGCAAAAAGCGATAAATATCACAGTAAAAACAACTGAAATTGCAGCGGTTATATGAATGTACAACAGAGTTGCTTTTGTTTTGTCCAAGCCAAAATCGGGTTAATTGACTTTACCAAACATTATTTTTTATATAAAAATGAATTTTGGTTTTATGTTTTAGGTTTTTAAAAAGTGAATAAAGTACCTAATTTAAAACAAGAAAAACTTTCTCATTTTCTTAATTTTTGAAAAAGTTACAGGGCATTTATTCTCCTTGTAATTTCAGTTGCTTTAGTTTTGGCCACCAGTGTATATATGGGACCTATAGCTATATCTGAACTGATTTTCACCAAATTTGATGTACTCGCTTCTGGACTGAATTCGGCTGGATGTGCCGAAATTTAGGTCATTTGGACTGATATTGGCCATTTAGTGCGGAATTAATCCGAAATCGGTTGAAAATATATATGGGAGCTATACCTAAATTGGAACCGATTCTCACCAATTTCAATAGGGTCCTCTTTGGGGAAACTAATATTGCTTTTTGAAAATGTTATTTTAATCGTATAATTAATGCGACCTGCATTTTGTTCACAAAATACATGGACAGACGGACTGACATGCCTAAATCGACTAAGAAAGTAGTTCTATTAAGATCCTCAAAAGTAACTATGGGTCTATGTCGTTTCCTTCTCGATAATACCCATATTAATATATGGTGTAGGGTATAAAAACGCCTATTCAGAAACTCCTTATGTACTATAGTAACATGTTGCGTATGATTTATGCATTAACAAATAATTAATTGCTTATACGCCATGGGGAGGAGTATATTCATGGACAAAAATTCCGAGAATACGAAAACAAAAAAATTATTCATTAAAAACAAAAATAATAAGGTAAACCAACAAGAATATTCTAATTTCTACTAAGTAAACATTTTCCAACTGTGGCGAATAGAAAAAGTTCGCCTCAGCCGAATTTAATCTACGTGTTTATATTACTGTTAATAAATCCATATTTATTTTCTATTTCTGTTTGTTTTTTGTAGCATTGCTCTGTTCATCCTGCATCGAATCAGAACCTTTTCGTCTGAACAATTATCTTCAAATGACATGGCTGACACGACAAGTCATCACAAGATTTTGGGGAAGTCATTTCCCATACTATCATCAACGACAACCTATTTAAGAAGGTAAAGGATGAAAAACCACGAAAGAAGGTACATCATTTCACGGTAAGTAAATATTTTATATAAACGTATACATATATCCAAAACCAATTTTGTGTCGGAAGCGATATCTTATGGGCTTTTGCCGATTCTGGCCCCCATGATCGTCACCGATTGTCTACTCTTCATCTTAAAAACCATTCTATTTTCGAAAACCTGAGATAACAATATCGTTCAAGCCTTCATCGCTAGGGATAAAATTGATCATCAGTGTCACCCGCTATAACATTTGCCGGAATGTTGAGATTGCCAGATGACGTATGAAGTCTCAAAATTTAAAGACAAATGAACAATTTATACTTACTCTAGATATTCTCAAAATTTAATGACAAATGAACAATTTATACTTACTCTAGATATTCTGCTTTCTGTTTCTGGACTAAAATTCAGGACTAGGTTTTTTGAATTGTATTGATAGTATTTTTATGGTGCATATTAAGTGGACATATTTCGTTTGCTCTTATCCGATTTTGAGTACATATAAAGTCTCTGGCAAAGTAAATTCTTGTTCCCTCTTGTTAAAAAGGTCATTGGCAGATGATACTTCTGCATCCTTACTTGTGTATTTGTTAAGATTGAAAGAGTATATAATAAGGTATATTTTTGTCCTCCGCAGCCGCAATATGCACTCTGTAACAACAATATTTGGGGAAATATATCAAATACAGCTCAGAAATACATTTGCTAAATTTTATCGAGATCGGTTCAGATTTGGATATAGCTCCCATATATATCTTCGTCCGATTTACCTTAGATTGTGCACCAAACATCTAATATTTGTTCAAATTGGATGAAATTTGGCACTTACCGAATTGAGTCTAGAAGGTAGTATGTCAAATTTGGTGAAGATCGGTTCAGATATAGATATAGCTCCCATATATACTGTTCATCCGATTTGTCATATTTGTTACCACAGCCGTAATATGCCCTCCCTAACTACAATATTCAGGGAAATATATCAAATACAGCTCAGAAATATCTTTGCCAAATTTTATGGAGATCGGTTCTGATTTGGATATAGCTCCCATATATATTTTTATCCGATTTCAAATTTATTGCGCACCAAATGGGCAATACAAGTCCGAATTTAAAAGATACAAATGCTTCGGCATATTTAGTCCTTTGAACTTTAAATTATAATTACAATCATAGCGTGTATGATTGAATTCTCTCATATTAACTTTTAATTGTTATGCTCAGCTCTACTAAATTAGCAAAGTGGTGTAGGGTATCATAAAGTCGGCCCGCCCGACTTTAAGACTTTCTTTACTGGTTTTCTTTAATTTCTTTCAAGAACTGCCAGAGTTAAGAGCGTGGATGTTTAATATTATATTTTAAGGGACTATTAAAGCCATTTGCGTGTTTCTTTTATAAATGAATTTTTAATACTTTTTTCAATGACTTCCAAAGCTATAAGAGTGGATTTTTAATAATATTTTATTTGAAAGACTACTAAAGTCATAAGCGTAGATTTTAATTAATAAATATTTTTTTTTAAAGAACTGCCAATACCATAAAGTTGATATTTAATAAGATTATCAGAACCAAAAGCGTGCATTTTTTAAAAACTATTTTTTTCAAGCAGTACCAGATCCATGAGCCCATGCTAATTTTTTTACATTATTCAAGAATTATATGTGTCATAAGAGTGAATTTTTAATAGTATCTTTTTTCAAGGATCATAGCTATCAGGGTCATATGAAGGCGTGTTTTTTTATAATTTGTTTTCTTTTATTTCTTTCAAGTACTACCATGACTTCGGTCGCTCTGGAGTATGGATTTTTAGGATTATTTTTTTAAGGGCCGAAAGTTTTTATAAAATTTTTTTTTAAGAACTATCAGAGCCATAAGTGAGGTTTTTAATAATATTTTTTAAAAGATTATCTGAACCATAAGCATGCATTAAAAAAATCCAAAGACTTCCAGATCCATAAGCATGGATTTTTTTAAATATTTTCAAGGACTGGATTTCTAATTGTGTATTTTTTAATTTTTTTTCTATGGGTACCAGAGCCTTACGCCAGAATATTAACAGTAATTTTGCTCAAGTGCTATCAGAACCATGAACCATGTTTTTCAATGACTATCAGTACCGAAAGTGTGGATTTTCAATATTTTTCAAGCTCTAACAGGGACTGTCCCCAGTGTGGAGATTTCTGGAATTCTATTCAACCGCCTTAAACTTGGGTTTTCTCTTAGTTGGCTCAGTGTACCTTTTCATCCCTTCTCCAAAAGTCACTCAAAAGGCGAAGCTGGTAACTTTTCCCGGAATTCAACCATAATTCCAGCTTAAATCGTGAATTTTTTTCAAAAGCTATTTTTCAAGTGCTATATAAATTAGATTCTGGAAGTACTGGTAACTTCTCCCTGAATTCAAGAATTATTCCAGATTAAATCATGAATTTTTTTATTAATTTTTCAAGGGCTTTATAAAGGGCTTTATAAATTAGATTCTGGAAGTACTTTAACTGCAATCTGTAAAATTCTCTCAAAGTTAGCTTGTGAATTACTTTTTCAAAATTTCTAAGCACTTAAGAATTATTCAATTTTATAGAAATTCATATTTTGTTCCTTCCTGCTTCTTCCATAAAATTGCAGCATTCATTCATTTCTAACGAAGTTCCCATCCATTCCCTATTCAAGAAATAAATAAATGAAAAAAAAGAACTAAGGAAACTTTATTAGCGAACTACTCTCATTCCATTATGTCGAAGCTCTGTTTATATTTAACACTCAGCACAACAGTTCAGGTAGTGAAGAGGAATTGATGCAGCGGATGGTGATGATGAAGGTAAAAAATATGCAATTTGCAGTGCACTACTATTTCTGATGATGATGATAATTCCGGTGGTGGTGATGGTGCTGGTGCTGATGATAGTTAACGGAAATTCCTTGCCTGAATTTCATTCCCATTCAGTGGGTTATTTGAATTTGAGCTTTTACTTTTATTAGGGCGGGCGGACATAGAGGAATTCGTATTTTTTCCACACTCATATTTACAATTGCTTCATTTGATGGCTGATTAGATACCAACAGATGACCTCCTCTCGCCCCCCCTCTTTTCATCACCAATACCAATGATATTGGAATTTCGTTGTGTGTACTGGGCAACATTTCTAAGCTTCCCCAACCAGTCAGCCGGTACTTCAACTGATGAATTTTTGTGGTAGGGTTAGGTTTCCATTCACAGCACAAGTCCCTCAATAATATCAGTGCCTGATGAATATTTTATATTCCAACAAACCGGAAGATCCTGTCTGCAGCATAGCCTCCGGATATTCACCTGAAATAATGATTCAAACTTTATTCCCGCTCTGTCTCTCTCTTCCCTTTTTTTATTTCAACAATTTTTGTTAACGTTCTTTCCAGTCAAATGATTTCGAGAGTACTGCGAAATGAAATACCGGAACATATTTCTATGGATACTTCATAAAGCAATCAATGTGAAATACTTTTTTTTACTGTGAACAAAAATGAAATGAAAAAATGCAGTTAGTAAATGCTTAATGGCCAATTAAACATTAAAGTCAATAATATTTTTGTATTGCACTTTTATTCCCAGTCAATGGTCAAAGGACTTGATTGCTATTTTGATTTTTTTCGGTAACTCAGGGGTAAATTATAAAACTGAATTAAAAAGTTGTTATTATTTTATTTTAAGTAAGCTAGAAAGGGTAATAGCAGTCTATTTGAAAAAGTCCTTGAGTTATTTAATATTTAATTAATAAATTTTAAATTGTGAATTAAAACAATTAAATTTGGGAGGATATGTGAAAATTTAAATGCTGGGCAAATTGATTGCAAACCAATTTTTGATCTTAAGGATGTTGTTATATGAGGTCTAAATTGCCCTAAGTACCGATAATTTTTGCCATTTGTTCTTCGCTCCAATTTGAACTTAAAAAATCAAGTTGCAGCCCATTTAGTGGAAGCAGTGTTATTTGCAGGCCTGCGAAGTCGAAATTTTTTTTTAATACTTCGACTGCGACTTGGTTCCAAAAAAAATTTATTCATTTCTAGAAAAAATATTTTTTAATTAAAACATAGACCGATATTGACTCGAAATACCGAATTAAAGGCGATCGAGTCTCTCTGGATATACTGTTTTCCAACAATATTTAAAATTTTCTGCAGATATGGCCTCCATCCCGTGCAGAAGGCCTTAAAGTACTTAAATCACTTGCTATTGCAATATGGGACTTATGGAAAAATATGGTCCGACAGAGAATTGCCAAATTTCAGCAAATCTGGCTGTAAATAAGGGCTGAAATCTTCGAATACCGGCAGCTACACATAGGCAGGTATACATAGTAATAAAGCAATCCTCAATATTTTTTCTCTTGAAAGTTATTATATTTTCTTTGAACCGTTAACATCAAATTACGACTGAATTGGTTGAAAAATGTGTATAACATCTTCATCGTTCTTCAAATTGAAGGGTTTAGCTCTAGAAGGCAGACACGCGGTGTTAATATAATTCGGAGTTCAAGCCAAAACGATATGGGTACAAATCTCAGCTACCACGAAGCATCTGCCACTCGTGGCTTCGTAATTAAGATTCTAGTTTCATGGACCAAGAGGAATGTGGTATTGCCATATATATGGTTTATGTTAAAATTTTAACATATTTCGAACATTTTTCGTGTAAACTTTGTGAGAGAAATTGGAAATATTAAAAAGTGATCCTCTTCCTCTCCCAAATACCAAATTTAGTATAATTTAGTAATTTCCGTACTTTTTTTGTACGTCTTTCCAAAACCACTATCAAATCTCAATCCTACACATAAGCAGTAGTAGCAAATTTTAGAATTTACGCACTGTCCGTTCACCCAAACTCAAATTAAGTTCAATTTGGAACTTTTCTATCCTCTTTATTTCAACCTTGTTCACTATCAGTGATCCCGAAACCAAGAATAATTTCCGGCTCAATCCGTTCAATCAAAGCCAAGTGGTACCAAATTTAGTAGAATTTATACACTTAGAACATATTTTTACACTGTAGGCAC